AGGCTGAAACTGTGTTTACTTACAAAACATGCAAGAAATAAAGGGGTGCCCTAGCAGTCCCTAGCACTGACAGTAAAAGTGTCATTTAGGCACTATATAAATAGTATTTTTTTGGTTGGCAATGGATGGCATTGGACTAGCTATTTTGATATCTGGCACCCTCTGGGATGAATCAGAGAGAAACATGAGCCTCCCTTCAGCAGAACTGCACATGCCTTTCTTCTAAGTGCTTTTATAGCTTTGAGAACAACTGCTCTAAAGTATGGGTTTAAGTGTAGCTGATCTAGCACAGCTTTTAAGAACAGTTATATTGAGAATACATTTTGTAGGGACTTCATAGCCAGCTTGGTTGTAAAATGATGTTAGGACAACAAGCACAGTTAAAAGAGCTTTTTGAATAACTTTCATATGTAAATGAAATATACTGATGAATATACAATACTATTTCACAGGATGTTATTATATCAATAAGCACCAAGTTTAGTGCTAAGACAGCCCCATTGTCCCATAGGTTTTTTTTTAAAAACACATACAACTGGCTACATAAACTGAAACCTATACAATATGCATTAAAATCACAAGGAGACAGTTTCAAAAATGGCTCTTGAACTACCTTTCTGTTGAACTTTGGATTTTCTTTCTTCCATAATTATTTCAGGATTATATTAAATATTGTTACTGGTAGAAGAAGAAAGAATTTTAAAATGGAATAAGGTGCAAACCAGCCCACTATGGGTGCAGAGACCATGCACAGAAGGTGTTCCAAAAGGGCCTATAGCATACCTCTATTTCTTCTCTCACACACCTTTGTGGGGGTACTGGACCTTAGCAGCTACACCATTATAGGGTGCTCACTGGGTGAAGGGGATGGGTTGGACAAAGAGATGGAAAGCACACTCAGACCTGTTATTCTTGTTAGTGGCACGACATGCAGAGTGCTTGTATATTGAAGCTAAGGGGAAGTGGAAAGAAACAAGGCTCTATCAGGACTTACGGGTGTTCCTCCACTTATGGGCACTGCACTCACAGTGGGCTGGATCAAGGCCATAATATTCAGTAAATGTCTTCTGAAAACACCTAAATTGTCTTTAACAGGAAAAAATGGCAAAAGGTCTCCCATGCTCATTGAAAGGAACACATCCAATAAGATCGAACAACCCAGTTCAGGTATGCACATGTTGGGGGAGATTCCTTTATTCAGAAAGAAAAAGCTTGCCTGCAAGAACTTGCTCATTTCCATCAATGTGCATAAGTTACATATGTAACATTGTTCTCTAAACTGTAGGGAAGCCCTCCTGAGCTGGGTTTTCATGTGTGTCTTCACATATATATGGAACAACACACTAGTCCTTTCAGTTACATCATCGTAATCTTCCAGGCTCGTAATAAAATGACACCTTTTTCAATCTTGCCAAAAAGCTGTACAAATTATTCACTAGAGAACTGAAATTATTAACTACTTAACCTCTCTAGAGATATCTATGTTCCACAGGACAGCTTGACTGGTGGTTTTGGCAAGCCGCTTGCTTACAAGGAACTGTTACATGCCTTGGATGGGAACCATCTTGCAAGGTTTGACCTGAGCAAGCAGGCCAACGTCTCAGGGGTATCCTGTATTCAGTATACCCAAAGACAATTAATGTAAAATGCCAGCTTCTCAATTTACCTGCAGGGTATACTGATTAGATATGGAGGAAGCAGATCCATTTCCATTATTAGCTTTCATTCTTCACAAAGTAAGTAGTGTGGACAGGATAAAGTCACCACAATTTTAGTCAAGGATGGCAACCTTAACTAGGTTGCTGGATCTTATTTACATAGTGAATTTGTAAAACACATCCCCCCAAAATAAGCAACAAAAGCAAAATAAATCACTTCAGTTGCACTATACTTTTCTCTCCTTTGGAAGCTTCCCAGGATCATTGACTGGAACTGAAAGGAAATTTCTAGAACATCTTACTGACATTTAAGACATATGTATCTTTTTTTCAAAAAAATCCAGTCTCCAAGGAGCTCAGTCAGTGAAGCAAACCAGTATTCTTCTCCCCCACATTTCCCCCTCACAAATAACCATGTGAGGTACATAAGGCTGAAAGACAGAGTGACTGACCTAATGTTCCCTATTAATGACTTGAATGAGGATTTGAACATGGACCTCTCCAGTCTTAGTCTGTTGCTTTAATCTTTGCATCACACTGGAATTCCATACTAAATTTTGACATAGATACTCCTCAGCCCCATGGAAGTCCATTCTGAAATAAAACTTTCGAAATGCAGAGTGAGGGAGAGGACTGAGAGATGTCTTCTCACAGAAGTGATCTTTGATTAAACCATTCAGAGAAACTATCATCACTGTTGACCCTCCTCTGCCTTCCAACCAAAGGGCTGTCTTCAGCACTACGGGCTCACCTGTAGACATTCTAAATGTGCAAAGCTGCCCTAATAATTTCCTTTCACCTAAAGTTATAGTAATTCAGACATTTCAGTTCTCAGTGAGCTACACTGCATTTACAGCCTTAGTCATACTTTAAACTCTATTACAGAATGAAAAGTAGTTCATTCGTCTTTTCTCAGTTTGTGATAGCTCCAGTTTCCATTTATGTATAGTCCAGCCAACTCACAGTTTATTCAAACACGACAGTGGGCTGCGCTGCATACATGCTGCTGAATACTCTCATACTGCTTCGTATTAATTCTAACCCGATTACTAAAATATAAACAGCTAGACCACATTGTTCCTGAATATAAGGATCTGCATGCACGTCTGCTCCCCTCACCCACACCATACAAACTATCTAGCTATTTGACACTATGCAGGGTGTTCCTACCGCAGCAACAGGAACCACATAATCAGCTCTTGGTACAGGATGCAAGGATCCAGAAATTGAAACGGACCATGACACACCCTTTTCCCACATGCAGGACTAGATCAAGAAGGATATCCAACATGCTTCTATGTGCTGATCAACCTTCCTGGACCAGGGTGACTTTGCTTTAGCGCTGAGAGCTCTGCTTACTTACAGTGAAAAGGTTCACTCCCCCCCCCCCCAATTTCTTCTCTCCTATATTCCGTGAAGAGTATCTGGACTATTTCACATTGAGAGGCTTCACATGTTTGGCTCTGACAGCAGCTTACTTCTAATGGTTATGGATGCCTGTTTTAAAGGTCAAACTAGATACAATGAAACCATCATTCACCTTTCCATACCATTTACAAATACAGCAAAGTCTTGGGATATTACTGTATTCTTGGTGCTTTTGGGGGGGGGGTCAACAGTGGGAGGGCTTCTAGTGTCCTGGCCCCACTGCTGGACCTCCTGATGGCACCTGGTATTTTTGGCCACTGTGTGACAGAGTGTTGGACTAGATGGGCCATTGGCCTGATCCAGCATTGGCTTCTCTTATGTTCTTAAAAAATAATAGTATGTGCATGCAAGAGAGGGGAACTTGTCCCTACCTACAAGCTTAGGAGCACAGAACAGTGATCAGCACAAAACTCCAATGGGAGGAGACTTCACTTATTCCCCATGTGCTTATTTTCTTATTAAACTCCACTGCTATATCTGTCTATCTTTCAACTGATTGATAGACAGCACAATTCATTCTCATTATTTTCATAATCATTGTGACATACAGGTCAGTTTCATGGGCCATAGCAGTTTTGTCTATCTTCTACTAAAATACTACTTTTCTTTAGTTATCAGATTTAGTTTTCAGTATGGATTTTTAAATGTACTCTGAACTTTGCAATCTCAGTTCTTGTTCCTGATTGGTTGGAAGAACTCACTTTTAAAAACGGAATTCATGTGCAAAGAGTGCAACATGGAATATAAGGAAAAATAATTTGGTCACAATTGTTTACCTTAGTGATATTAATGTAACCCACACTTATTTAGGATACATATATAACACACACAAAATACACATATATTATTTAGCTATATACACACTCACACATTTTTAAAAAGTATAATACTAATACTTTTTCCTCTTGTTACTGAAGACTGATGCTTGGCATCTCAGGCTTGAAATCTATTTAAACCTGGAATTTAGAAATGCAACACATTCCAAGTATACATCACAGTGATAACATTGTACTGTACACTGAATTGACATATTCTGTCTTCAGGGATTCAGTAAAAACAGTTACTAGTTAAAGAAGACATTACCTGATACCTTCCTTTGGGATAGTATTTGCATTCAAATAAGATCCCACAAAAAGCCAACCCCTGATAAAATAACAGAAGGGTCTCTGAAAAATACAACCTTTTGTTAGTCTGAACCAGTGTATTACTTTCTTTTGCAATGGTATTCTGTGTTCTTTTGTTGCTGTTATTCCCATATATACATGAATTTAAAGCGTAACAGGGATTTCAAATATTATCAGAAGAAATACAAAGCCTTTCCTTTAAAATCCACTAAAATCACTAAGAATGTAAAATTTTCAAAATACCTTATAGGAGTCTTCAAAATATGGGAAGTGTTTTCATGGGGGGGGGGTTAAGGGTATTTTCACATACTTTACATTACTTTCACACAAGTCTACCTAATCACTTTGGTTAGACAAATATCAGCAACATACAGTAAAACATCTCACAAGACATGATACAAAACATCTACAATTCAGTACCGCCGCTTGGAGAGACCGAAAACCTCTATAAGTTACAAACAATTAATATATTTCACACTGGAAATCAAACTACAATTATAATTTTTAATTTTGATTTGATTACACATTTCAAATGTTCAATAAGTTTACCTAAGTGTAGGTTTTACTCACTGATTCATGCATTGTTTTGTACATCATAGGATCTAGTCATTATTCAATTAGAATTTTGCCTATGGAAAACCTGCTGTTGTTTTTTTTAAAAAACATAGTTCGAATTCTTATTTGCAGAACTTGGAGAAGGGGCTACTGCTTAACCACAAAAACAGTCACTTTTTAAAAAGATGACAACATACTCAAAATGGTACATTTGAGGAAACACACACTTTTGAAGTCATTGCTTTCTCTTGCTTTCTCTTAATTTGATCTCTCATAATGCTGAGGTCTTTGTTTTACAATGCCTCTGCAGTAGTGTCTGAGGAAACAGACATGGTCACTTTGGCAATCTTAACTGTATTTTTAATACACCTTTCAGCAGCCTTGTGGACGTTACCTGGGTTGTTAGCATGTCTGTGCTGGCAGTCAGACTCCAAACTGTTGTCAAGAGGTTGTGCTGTCCCTTCACATGTTGGGAACATGCTCCTGAAAGCATGTCTCAGGTCCTTGCTCCTGAGAGCATAGATAATAGGATTCACTGTGGAATTCAGCAGACAGAGCATGCTGCAGAAGGCAAAGATAGTCTTGATAAGCTTGTTCATCTTCCCAAAGACATCGTAGACCATAATTGCAAGCAGAGGACCCCAGCAGATAATCAAAACCACGAGAATGAGGACCAAGGTTTTGGCTAACCTGATGTCCATTCGTGTTTGTTCTGGCCTAGTGATTTGCTGCACTTTACCATCTTCTGAAGTATGAATTATTATGCTCTTCTGAGTGCCACGCTGGAGCATTCTAACAGCATGGCTATGAGCCTTCCACAGTATATACATATAGGCATACACAATAAAAAGCAGAAGGACAGTGGTCACCCCAATCCAGAACAACAGATAGTTCTCATCAATTAGAGGAAATATATCTGAACAAACTGAATTGAGCATTTTGCAGTTCCAACCAAGCAGGGGAAGAACAGCTATCACAATAGCTATGGTCCACATCACACAGAATGCTACAACAGCCTTTGATCTCGTAACAATCCTTTTGTAAGACAGGGGCCTGTGTATAGATATGTACCTGTCTATTGCAGTAAGAAAAAGACTACCGACTGAGGCAGTGAAGGAGGCTGTAACTCCACCCAGTTTGAAGAGGAATACATTAGGACTATCTTTCCGATGAAAAACATGGAAGTCAACAAAACTGTAAACAAAGATTACACTACCCAGGAGATCTGCCACTGCCAGGCTGCTGATGAAATGGTAGGAAGGTCTGCAACGCAGGCTTCGGGAGTGCAGGATGACAACCAAGACCAGAAGGTTTTCCAGAACAGTGAAGGTACCCAGTGTAAGGGACAGTACAGCAATCGCCAGCTGCTGGCTACGGTTCAGAATCATAAAGCACTCCATATCCATGAAGTTTTCCCCGCATTGTATACTCTCATCATTCTCCTTGAAGGTAGTTTTATTGTAAAAATCTGTAAGATTGATTTGATCCGATGGATGGACACTCAAGACAGCATTATCTCCAGCAGTCATTTTGGGTCGGAAATCACTTCGGAAAGAAGAGAAGGGTAATTTCTGTGGGTAGTATCCTAACTTGGAGGCCATGTCGCTTTTAAAATCTTCGTACTGGATCTCGTTGGAACCCATGTAAAGAAGATCTGTTGTAATTGTTCTGAAGGTCGTATCTGCGAGGCCATCCAGGACTGACTTCATAACCCCAGATTTCAATTATGCAGGGTTTGGGGGAAAGTGTATGAAGCAATCCTGGTAGAGAGGGGAGAAAAATCAAGCTTAATTAAATTTAAGCAGGGGTGAAAGAGGAGACAAAAAGAAAAAAAAATCTACAAACTTAGTTGAGCAATACCAGTAATATCCCTCTCTCCTTCTACTTAATGTTGGATCATTTTTACTTACGTGAAACAGATGAACAACCATTCAGCAACAGAATGTCTGAAATACAGTGCATGGCTATTTAATAAAATATAGAAAGATGTTGAAAAATATGTGATAACGTATTGGATTCTTTCTAATTTTAATTGCTAGATCTTTGGATATGCTGCCTAAAATGGACATTTTATTCTATTTCTTAAACCAATTCCTTTACTTAAAAAAAAAATTGGCCATACCAGCGGCTGCCATAGAGGATTAGCACACAGTCAAGTTACTAACAGCATACTTTTCTTTCTATGCAATGCAGATACTATGATTCAGAGGGGCACTTGAATCAATTGTTCATTGTCCCCAAAGTTATTGGATATTGTTTCTTTTCTTTTTTTTACTATTGGTGGGTGAGGTGTGCGATTCATCTGCTGTTCAGCACATTTAACAGCAATTAGATTGAGGCTTTATTCCTTGTTGAAGTTTCAATGGTGTCAACTTCTTTACACAGTAAGGTACCTGGACATTATTCATTCTGGGCCAACAGACACAGTCAGAACCTCATCTGATATAATAGTGATCATGAAATGACTCTGTCAAGCAATCAAGCCATCCCAAGGGTGCAAACCTTTTGAAAAGTTACATGAAAACTGTCCCCATATTCATGTAACTCTTTCTACAATAACTCAGTATGCAGGATCTGAAATGACAACAGGATTTCACCTGGTATGTCAATTAAGTTCCTTCTCACTTTCCTACATACATGCACTCACAGGATAACTTTAAAAAGTTTACACGAGTACCAAATCTTACATCAAACTATTCTACATAACATCACTCCAGGTGTTCTTACATGGATTGAGAAACTTTAGCCAAACACCTAGCTGATTTCTGAATTTGTTAGCCAGACAATATAATGAAGAAATGCATTTTTCCTTGGAGGTTTGAAATGAGCAAAACCTTCACTCTGAGCTTTAAGTCCCCCCTCCCTCTCTGGGCAGAGAACGAGCAGGAAGGGCGAAGTCAGTTCAGTGGCTTTCCAGCCTCACCTCAGCTACCTTTTAAGAAATGCTAATAGGCCTAGCTCAAGACAATAGGATGGTCCAATCTACCCCCCTCTACCCCCCCCCAAGCAGGGAACAGATACTTGGAGGTATTAAATACTAGAAAGACTTCAGGAAAAGCTTCTTTGTCCCAGCTTGACCTGATCAGTGGGTGGGGAAAGGAGAGATAATAAAAGTCCTGGGAGCAGGGAGGAAGCTCTTTTTGGGTGCTGATTCCATAGAAGCAGACAGAGCTGTTAACTGAGGTCTGGAGAAGGTGGCCATTGCCATGGGCACAGCTGAAAGAGTCTTGAAGGTAATGGACTCCTGAAAAAGATCTGTAACTTTCTAAGCTAAGGAGCCTGCCTTATATTTAACAACTGATAGGGCATGTGTAGCAGGAGGGACAGAGGAATTGCATTTTACCCTTTTCTTTTGAATCCCTTGCTCAATCTGGTGCTGTGCTAAAAGTATGCTTGTAAACATTTTCTCTTTAATAAATATCACTTCTGATGTTGGTAGTGGTTCTCTCTATTACATAGACCTACACTGTCTTGGTTGGATACACTATTTTAAAAGAAGTGCCAGGAGGAAGGGGAGGTCAGTCAGTTGGCAAAAAATTATTCACATTTAAATAATAAATGTATTTATTAGTCTAAGATATGTTGTATATGTCTACAGTTAATATATGAATTGTCAGGTGTGGATATCTAAATCCATTCATTGGGGCCATAGTGAAACAAAACAGATTTTCACGCAAACTTGGGAGACCTCTCAGGTTTGCAGAAAAATCTGAAGACACACTGGGGGCTTTAACCCCCCCTCAATAAAAGAACACACCCTCCCTTCTGTGCTATCTGTCAGAGTCAGGTAGCTGCTCCAGGCCCAGCAGTGGCCGCAGTGAAGACCAGGAGCTGCACTGGGTCCCGTGGTGAGAGTGGCAGAGGCTGGGAGCTGTTCCGGGCCTGATGACAACTGCAGCAGTGGCTTGCTTCCTTCCTCCAAGGTCAGGGACAAAGAGTGGCCCTGGGAGACCAGCTGTCCCAAAGGCACCCACGGGAATGTGGAGTGCCCCAAGGGGCAGTGTTATCCCCAATGCATTTTTAAACATCTATATGCGCCCTCTTGCCCAGAGGCATAAGCTGGGATGTCACTAGTATGCGGATGACACCCAGCTCTATCTGTTGTTGGACGGTCAATCTGACTCCAGACCGGAAGATCTGGACCAGGCATTACAAGCTGTGGCTGGTTGGCTTAGGCTGAGCCGGCTACTGCAGAGCCCAGGTACCACTCAGGGCCCAGTGATGGCTGCCACAGAACATCGGAGCTTTTCTTGGGCCTGGCAGTAGCCATGGAGGCTTGAAGCCTCCTGGGGCCTGGCAGCAACTCTGATAGAGCCCAAGAGCTGTGCTGGGCCTGGCAGCAGCTACAGTGGAGCCCAGGAGATGTGCTGGGCTCAGTGAGCAAGTGGGGAGAGGATGGGATCCCCCCCCCCTTCAATTCTTGTGGGCCCCACTTGTCTTCTCTAATACTGTAGATTGTTGTACATAAAATTTTTCATACTATTTATTTTAAGTAAAGCCTTTCACTCATTATAAAAATCATAGGTTTTTCAATGCTCCCCCAAATTTCTCAATTTTTCCAATGGAAATGTTGAAAACGTCCTGGAACTTATTCTTACTATACATTTTGATTGAGAAAAACAATGTCTTAAGAAGCATTTCACTCATTCCAAAAGAGAATATAGTTAATTAGAAGTAGGGTTTAGTCCACCTTAATTTTACAATTTTTTCATTGGATAAACTGAAAAAGTCCTCAAACTTTTCAATGCTATACATTTTGGTGAAAAAAACCCTTGTCTTAGGAAGCACTTCCAAAATAATATAGTTTAAGTGCCCCCCTCAATATTTTCCATCAGGAAAATTGAAAACAGATTTTTTTATACTCCCGTATAAAGAACATTTTATTCAGAAGCATTTCACTCATTTCCAATGAGAAAATAGTTCACATGAGTTTGCTCCCTCAAGTTTCCCAGTTTTTCATCAGAAAAACTGTAAAAGTCCTCAGAACCATTATTTTTCTGCCCCCACCCCCCGTCTCACATCTCTAGCCATAGGCACATTATTATACTGCATATGCCCTGGTAGCTAAATGCATTTGCCATAGAAGTGACAATGGAACTATGACCCAGTATTTAGAGAATATAAATTTTAAATGAAACTATACCACTAGACAATGTGACTGATGCCAAAAAAGAATGTGCAAAATGTACATATCTTTGCATAGATTTATATAAGGTATCTGTAGAACTATGATGTCTCCTAATGAGAAGCCTGCAGCCAAGGAACTAGATAACTATTTAGGACAGCCAACCTCCAGGTGGGGGCTAGTATCCTTGAAAACAGACAACTGATTTCTAGACTACAGAGATCAGTTTCCCTGAAGGAAATGGCAGCCTCTGGGAATCTATGGTATTATATGGTATTATATCCCTCTATGGTATTATATCCCTGCTAAGCTCCCTCTTCTTCCTAAACTCAGCCCTTCCCAAGTTCCACCCCCAAATCTCCAACAATTTCTCAAACTGGCCAAAATCAGTATGTCAAATTTCAACCTGCATATCCATTTTAAAATGTCTTGCCTCAGTTTCTGGTTTGTTCTTAACATAAATAGTGGAGGTATGGGAAGCAAATAGGTACCTTTTTCATATGTGGTGGAAATGCAGTGTTATTTTCTTTTTGTTTATTTTTTAAAAATTATACCCTGTCTTTTTGTCCCCATAGGAACCAGCAAGGAGGCTAACAAATTAAAAACATGCATAATAAAATCACATCTAAAAAAAATTAAATGAAAGCATATAAAGCAATTACAACCAGAGATAAAACACACATACAACAACAATTACAACACTAGGCAGGAAGGAGGGAAGCACTGAGGGAATGCCTAGTGAAACACAAAAGTCTACACTACTGGTGGACTATGACAACAGAATGGAACAGACAAGGCTGCCTGGGGAAAGTTTTGGTGCCACCCTCTCCCAGTTTGCCATCTTCCTAATCCCAGCAGGTGGGGGCACTTAAAGCAGGGCCTTGGAAGCTGACCACAGCGGCCAGGTAGGTTCATAAGGGAGTAGGCAGTCCTTCAGGTATGCTGGTACTAAACCATACAGAGCTTTAAAGGTCAACCCCAACACCTTGAATTGTGCCCAGAAACAAATAGAAAGCCCATGTAGATGAGCCAAGACTGGAGTGATATAGTTCCTATACCTCACTCCAGCCAACATCCTGGCTGCAGCATTCTGCACCAATTGAAGTTTCTGAACATTTCACTAGTGCAGACCCACGAGAAATCATTGCAGTAATCTACTATAGGTGTAGTCAGAGCGTGTATGACAGTGGCCAGATCTTTCCTGACCATGAAAGGCACAGTTGGCTAACCAGTCAGAGCTACTAAAAGGTACTCTTGGCCACAGCTGCCACCTGCTTATCCAGCAGTATCCCTGGGTCTAAGAGTACCTCCAGACTACAGAACTGTTTCTTCATAGGGAATGCAACCCCATCCTGAATGGGCGACACTGTAAATCATACCATTAGCTCTTTTGTCTTGTTGGGATTAAGCTTCAGTTTATTAGCCTGCATCCACTCCCAAACTGCTTCCAGGCACTGGTTCAGGGTTTCTACAGCCTCCCTGGTGTCATCTATAAATGCAAAATAGAGCTGTATGCCATCCATCTGTGTACTGGTGACAACCCAGCCCAAATCTCCAGATGTTGATGTTAAAGAACATAGGGGACAAAAGAAGCCTTGT